TGTGGCTCAAGTGGTAGAGTGACTGCTTTGCAAGTGTGAAGCTCTGAGTTCAAACCAAGTCCCACCAAAAAAAAAAAAGTTCTGCCAGCTTTACTTCCTAATGTCCGCTCCTAGCTACCATCACATCCTTCCTGCCATCCCTGCAGTCATTTTGCATGCTAAAGCTAAAATACTCCTTCAAAATGCAAACCTGATATTGTACACTCTCCCAACTGCCATTTAATGTATACTTTGTGGCTTCCTATTGCTTTTAGAATAAAGCAACATCTCAGGATGGCTCCTGCCACCTCTCTAGCCTCCACTCTAACCATACATACCCTCTTTTTTTTTTTTCAGTGCTGGGGTTTGAACTCGACCTACACCATGAGCCATTCCATCAGCCCTTTTTTGTGAAGGGTGTTTTCGAGATAGGGTCTGGCAAACTATTTGCCTGGGCTGGCTTTGAACCATGATCCCCCTGATCTCTACCTCCTGAGTAGCTAGGATTACAAGTATGACCCACTGGCGCTCGGCCACACATACCCTCTTGTCCTCTTCAGTTATATGACCTTCTGCCTGAAATGCTCACCTTTCTTTCTTTCTTTCTTTGTTCATTTTATTTTGGGTGCTAGGGATGGAGCCCAGGACATGGTACATGCTGCACATGCACTGAACCACTGAGCTGAGTCTTGAAGTAAGAACAAGCAAGGCAAGGAGGAAAAACTATATTCCGAGCAGAGGCCCAGAGACAAGTGCAGGGAACTAGTGTGAGTTGTTGGATTTAGCTGAGCTGCACTGGAGGTGAGGATAAACAATGGGAGTAGAGAGGTAGGCAGTATCCAGGTTGAATCTTGGGCTTCCCTTTGGCACCTGGGAATATAATCTCTCAAAATATACTAGATTATGTAGCCGATTTTTGATGGTGTTCTTTGATTTTTCTTCCACACACCCCTACCCCCGTATCCCATAAGCAAAAACCCTCTTTAAATTAAACTGTTGTTCTACCAGATCTTCCCACCTGATTATTGCTCAAAGGCTCCAATGCCAGCAGTCTTGTTGCTACCTGCTTGACAGAGGGCAGAGACAGGCTAACAGCAAATCAAATTCCAATTGTTAGTAACATCCCCAAATGAAACAAATTTCTGTCAACTTGATTGGTTAAATAAATTTAAGTAAATAAAGTATGATTAATACCATGGGACACTCTGCAGCTATCAAAAAGGGTAAGAGCAGCCAGACACGGTGGCTCAAGCCTGAAACCCTAGCCATACAGGAGACAGAAATCTGGAGGACTGTGGTTTGAAGACAGCCTCAGGCAACTGCTTCTCCAGACCCTATCAAAAAACCCATAAAAAAAAAAGGCTGACAGAGTGGCTCAAGCTCAAGAGTGCCTGCCAGCAAGCCTGAACCCGAGTTCAAACCCCAGTACTGCCAAAGAAAAAGAAAGCTTCTGTTTGCTTTCTATTTAGCCTGAACAAGTTATAATGCTGATCACAGCATCACATTGGGGTGGAACTACAAAGTTATAGGGCAAAAAGAATGGATACAGGGGAGACCGTGATTAGGGATCACCAAAGCAATAAATCTAACACAGGACACACTGGTCAGTTTTATCTGGAAAAGAAAGGCTTTATAGAAGAAGGTATGCTAGAGCTGAGTGCTGAAACATGAGAGTGTACAGTAAGTAGGCAGCTGTTACTTGGAACTGCACACAGGCCAGTTTGCCACAATCAATAGAAACCCAGCAGGTCTTTCTGTGCTCATAACAGGATTCTATTATTTGTATCTTGGCCTCATTCCTTTTGGTCAGGCATAGGCCAGCAGGCACTCAACACATGTTTGCAGAATTAAATTGATATCTTACTGTGAATGAGATGTGGAATGAAACAGCTGAACCTGGAGCTAATTGGTCCAAAGAACAGTTTAGCTGTCAACTCTTCCAAAACCGAAATCCTTGTATTGAGCAGTTTCTCATTCATTTATCCCACAAACATTTCCTGAGTGCCTGCTATAAACCAAGTTCTTTGTAGAAATAAGATGATACTATGGCCTGGTGGCATAGCTCAAGTGGTAGAACACTTAGTAAGCATGAGACCCTGGATTCGATCCCCAGTACTGAAAAGAAATGCTACTAGCTCACAACTAGGCTACTACTTTAAAAAAAAAAATTTTTTTTTTTTTTGGAAGTACTAGTGTTTGAACCCAGGGCCTCACACTTGCTAGGCAGTCACTTTACCACAGGCTACTGTTTAAATGGAGACGGCTAATAACCCTTTCCAACAAGCAAATTTATCCAACTTGGGGCTCCATTTCTAGTGCTAACTGGTTCAGAAGAAGGCATCAGGACACCGTGCAACACAAAATCAGTTCTTAGAAATTGCACAATTTGATTAAAAGTAAAAATCTGCCCTTTTTTTTTTTTTTGCGGTACGGGCGTTTGAACTCAAGTCTCAGAACCTACACCCTGAGCCACTCCACCAGCCCTTTTTTGTGAAGGTTTTCTTTGAGGTAGGGTCTGGTGAACTATTTGCCTAGGGTTGGCATTGAACCTCAATCCTCCTGATCTCTGCCTCCTGAGTAGCTAGGATTGCAGGTGTGAGCCACCAGTGCCCTGCTTGCCCTTCATTTTAAGCTAAAATCTATGTTTAAATGGTGCAAGAATCTGGTGTTCTAGCCAATGACTTACTTTTTCTTTCCTTTCTCTCTCCCTTCCCTATCCCTTTCTTTTCATTTCTTTTTGGAAAGAGGGTTTTGCTATGTAGCCCAGGCTGGCCTCAAACTTGTGATCCTCCTGCTTCTGCCTCCTAGGCACCAAGATTACAGGAGTGCATCGCCATGCCCAACTCTAGGATTTACTTTGAGGAGTGTATTCAGTCCTACTCACAGTCATCAAACCTGTTGTAGGTACTGAAGTGGGACAAGCTTCTGTCTGAGCTAGGTTCCTCTAATTCTATGGAAGAATAATGTGAGGGTTGGGGTTTTAGCTCAGTAGTAGAGCACTTGCCTAGCATGTGCAAATCCATGGGTTTGATCCCCAGCACCACAAAAGAAAGGAAAAAAAAAATGTTCTTTGTTGACTGCTTGTAGGTTTTGTTAAACCAAATTATTTTAGTAAGTTAATCTAGCACATCTGAGAAAGCACGTCAGTTGGTTAGGACAATAAGAGCTTCTACCATGTTGTCCATGCAAGCTGCATTCTTCTGCTGCTCAAAGGATCTTCATTCTGTCATTGTCAGCTTCAGATCTTTCTTTTTTTGTTTTTGTTTTTGAAACAGACTCTTGCTACATAGCCCAGGCTGGCCCAGTACTTACAATCCTCCTGCCTAGGCCTCCCAGGTGCTGGAATTACAGGTGTGCACTACCACACCCTGCACCAGGTCCCTCTCTTTTTCCCCTGGCAGTGCTGGGGATTGAACCCTCGTCTTGCACATGCAAGGCAAGTGCTCTACCACTGAGCTAGATCCCCAGCCAACCTGGCTTTTTTTGAAAAAGTGGGACTGGGGTTTAGGGCTTCACACTCGGAAAGAAGGCACTCTACCACTATAGCCACACCTCCAGCCCAAGACTGTTACTTTTGAGAACAAGTCATTCCCTTTCTAACTCTCTAAACTCTATTCTTTCATATGATGAATCACTAGTAAAGGAATTTACATGAACTGTATTGATAAAACCTAAAGCCTAAATTGAACTGAAATCAAGTCCTTGGTTATGTTTGTTTTGAGGCAGGGACTTGCTACGTAGCCCATGCAGGCCTTAAACTCATGATTTCCTGCTTTAGCCTCCCAAGTGGTAGAATTACAAGTGTGCGCCAACACGCCCATCTGGTCCTTGTTTTCTTTTTTAATGGGACTGAAGTTTGTATTCAGGGCTTTGCACTTGCAAAGCAGGCACTCTACTGTTTATGTCACACCTTCAATCCATTTTTCTCTGGTTATTTTGGAAATGACATCTTGCAAATTATTTGCCCAGGCTGGCCTCAAACTGCAATTCTCTTGATCTCAGCCTCCCAAGTAGGTAGAATTTCACATGAGAGTCACCTGCTTGGCTGATCCTAGGCTTTTAACAGAAATTTTAAGAGTGTTTGCTGGGCATGGTGGTACATAGCTGTAATTCCAGCACTTAGGAGGCTGAGGCAGGAGGATCATGAGTTCAAGGCCTGCCTGAGCTACATAGTGAGACACTCCCCTCAAGAGACTATTTGTCAATTGCACTGTCTCTACATACAGACTAATTTCTTCTTTTAACTCAGTGATGAGAATTACATATCCCAGGGTTGCCCTTTTTTGCTTAAGCTGGCAGGAATGTCAGAGCTAAATGTAGGCATAGATTCCTGAAGACCCTGATACATCTCTTCCTTTAATCTAGTTTCTGATTTTTCTCTTCCACTTTTAATTTTCTGTACCTGCACTGTCCAGTAGGGTAGCCATTAGTCACGTGTGACAGCTAAGCACTTTACAGGTAGCTAGTCCAATACCGGATGGGCTGTAAGTGTAAAATATCTCAGTAATTTATAATATTGATTTCAGGTTGAATATTTTACATATATTGGATTAAATATTAACTTCACCATTTACTTATTATGGCTCCTAGCAATTTTTTATTACATATGTCAAAAAATTACAAATGAGGCTTGCATTTGTGACTTGCATTATATCTCCATTGGACACATTGTTCTACAAAGTCATCCTGCTTTAATGGGTGTTGTCATAGTAAACCTCCTTTTGGAAAGCAGGTAAAGTAATAATGCAGAAGAGGTGACAGCAGTAGACAGAGTGAGAGAAGAAGTTTGACTAGAACATGTCCTTCTCTGTGTCTGTTTCTATGATTCACAAGGGGTGAAATGTGTTTTCAGTTCCCTTCATCCCAGGTGAGTAGTGTTCCATGACCGTCTGCAGACTCCAGGAAAAAACCTGTTCTTGCTTTACTTTACTGTCACTAACATATTGAAAGGATCTGATGGAATGACAATTCACAACACATTACAAATGACTGATAACAACTTTATGTTCACCCCTCGTAAGGGGTATTTCCATTTTAACAGGGAACAATCCCTGAACCCAAAGGAATGAATCCCTAATGGTGGAGTTTCAGGCATCAGTGACAGGTGAGTGAGAGGTAGACTTTGGCTTTCTGTATTTATATATTTGTCTACATTAACCTGTGACTGGAAGTAGGGTTTTTAGGTAGAGAGGTAGTGGGGCTGATGGACAAGATGAACAGAGATGGTATCAAATCCCCAGTTGGGTCAGACTACAAAGGGCTCTCAAACATCAACCAGATTCAGTGCAGACCCAAGGGTTTGTTAAGCAACAGAATAGCCAGCTGATGTAACCAGAGGGTAGGCATCAAGACAGTCTCCATGGTAACTACTATGAGTAGTAGAAAGGCTCTTTACAGTAGGATTCAGGAGACTATGATTGCAGTCCACAACTGACTCGGCTTAACACTGGGCAAGTCCTTTACCCTTGGGTGTCAGTTTCTTCATCTGGGAAATAGGAATGGATGCTGTAACTGGGCATGATGGTGCACACCTGTAATCCTGGCACATGAGAGGCTGAGTCAGGAGGATTAAGAGTTTGAGGCCAGCCTATGCTACATAGCAAGACCCAAAACAAAACAACAGAAAAACAAGAAATGGGTGCCTTAACTATGAAATAAGTTCTATGGGTTGTGAAGGTGCTCTGAGAAGTAGGAAGTACCCCAAAAATGCAGACTAGTGATCAATATCGTTAAATGGAAATGGCAGCTATGCAAACCTAGAGTTGTAGAGGGTAGAAAGCAGGGGTGGAGGGCTATGGGGAAATCTGAGGGTGGATACCCCTTGTAAAACACCCATGCTTCTCTGTCTCCCAGGCTGAACACGGACTCCTAGGGCCCATGCTTGCACCTGATGATGGCCTGAACTATGAGCAAACTGGACTATATGAACACTTCAGTGCAGGAGCCCCCTCTTGACTACTCCTTCAGAAGCATCCATGTCATCCAAGGTCAGCCCACAGAGCATACCACTCCACTCACCATGGCAGCAGGCCCAGTGTGGTTCCTAGGGAGAAAGCAGTCTTCTACTTAAAAGCCTGAAGAGATTCTTCCCATACATTTGTTGTCTTTGGGGGAGGAGCGGGGAGTGTGAGTTGGTTTTGTTTTTGCAGTGCTGACTAGTGAACCCAAGCCCTTGTGAATGCTGAGCAACTGCTCTACCATTGAGCTATAGCCCCAGCTGGAAGACTTTTTTTTTTTTTTTTTTTTAAAGTGGTACATCTGAAGGAAACCAGGGGCCTTTCAGGGTAACTGACCGTCTTCAAATGAAGTCAGGCTACTACAGGAAAATCAGGTAGCAGAAAACAAGGAAACTGCCAGGCACCAGTGGATCACTCCTGTAATCATAGCTACTCAGGAGGCAGAGATCCAGAAGACTGCAGTTGGACACTAGCCCAGGCAAATAGTTGGCAGGACCCTATATCAAAAAAAATCCATCACAAAAAAGGGCTGGTGGAGTGATTCAGGATGTAGGCCCTGAGTTCAAACCCCAGTACTGCCAAAAAAAAAACCCAAACAGGGAAACTTTCAGCCAATAGTTTTATTTTCCTATTTTTACCTGAAAAGAGGAAGAAACTAGTGAGAAGAAAACACAGGCTACTGCAGAGTTCCAGCAAGTAGGCAGAAACCTATCTCTATCTGGGAACACAATATTCTGATCACTGGTGAAACATTAGGGGCCTTTAGCTGGGTGCTGATGATTCACATCTGTAATCCTAGCTATTCTGGAGGTAAATATCAGGAGGATTACAGTTGGAGGCCAGCCTGGGCAAAAAGTTCACTAGACCCCCCATCTCAACAGAAAAATCTGGGCATGCTGTCGTCCCAGCTACTGTGGTAGACATAAATAGGAGGATCATGGTGCAGGCCAGCACGGGCAAAAAGCAAAACTCCATCTCAAAGATAACCAGAGCAGGTGGGCACCAGAGGATTATAGGCACCCATAAGCCTAGCTACTTGGGAAGCTGAGACCGGGGGGATCATAGTTTGAGGACAGGCTAGGCAAATAGTTTAAGAGACCCCGTCTCCAAAATAACCATAGAAAAATAAGCTGGAGGGGTGGCTCAAGCAGTAAAGTGCCTGTGTTGCAAACACGAAGCCCTGAGTTCAAACCCCAGTTCCAACAACAAATAATAATAGTAATAAAAATTAACCAGAACAAAAAGTGCTAGGGGCTTGAGTTAAGCAGTAGAGCACCTTCCAGGCAAACTCAAAACCCTAAGTTCAAACCCTAGTACCACCAAAATGAAAACAAGAAACATGAGGGGTCTTATTATCAACTAACTGCAGTGTTCCAGTTTAAATATTATTGACCAATTTCTTACATTCATTCCAGCCATATCCACATTTACTTCCATCATCACCCACACTTGCTTCAGGTTCTAGCACTGCCCAACTCATTCCCATTTTACCATTCAATGTCTTTGTAAGTAGGCAGCTAGCACCCTTCAGGAAGAGATGTAGGGTATCTCTGAGAGTATCATATTCTCAAGGAGTTGGGTTTTTTCTAGGTTCTGCTTTCCCTGCCTTTGGTTACTGTCCTTATGAAACACATGTTCACACCCACCATCTCTGCCAGGCAGCTAGTAGCCACTTGTAAGCTTAGGAATAGTACTAGTCTTGACTTGGATTTATGGCATTACTTGAATTAGCATCAGCCGATGCTACTGCCTGTCTGTTTCCTCTCCACCTGTGAGCTTTATTGTGCTCTGCATCACTTCTGATTGATACAATCCATGTTTCACAGGATTTTAGTTACAGTAATAGCTTGTGCAAGATAGCTGTATGGAGGGGGATATGGCTCTTATCATGGGAATTCCCAACTCTGGAGAAGGGAACACAGTTCTGTCCTCTGTGGAGTCTTCTGAATGAGGGGAGACACAAGCTACCACTACCATGGGTATCAGCACAAACAATCCACACAGATGCACTCATTCAATAGCTCACATACTTCATTCAATAATTCAAAATTTACTGAGCATCTACTATTTATTAAGCAATTCATATGTGCATATGTGTGTGTGTGTCTGTATATGTCTGTATACATATATGCCTGGCATTGTGCTCCTTGCTGTGTGTTAAAGGGTGGTGAGGAAGAAGCATATCAAAGCCCCCAAAGGCCAGAGTCCCTTGAGGTTCCCCAGAGCTTCAGAAACATTTTAAGTAGGGGTAAAGGACAGGCTAGAGTTGGGGGTACTTGGGACACTATTTGCTGAATTAGTAAAAATAGATTATAGAATCTGAAATGGCAGTGACTTTTTGATATTGCAGAAGCTTGGAATGCCATCAAGCATAGGCTTCCATCCTGCCCAACCTTTACTTCCTCTCCTCTCCAGTGCAGGTCAGGCAGCATCCACCAGATGGCTCTCCACCTTAGTCCTGGAATTAGCAGCACCCACAGTTGGGGCTTTTGGTGGCAGAAGGTTACTGGAGCAGGGTACTGCTGCTCAGGAATAGACTCCTAATCCTGCTTCCCTCCTTCCAACTCCTGAAGACCTCAAGTGAAATAATTTAAGATGAATAAAAATTAGGGTGAAGGTTGGTGTAGTTAGTGGCTCACACCTGTAATTGCAGCTTCTAGGGTGGTGGAAATTGGGAGGATTGCAGTTTGAGGACAGCCTGGGCAGAAAGTGAGACCACATCTCAATAAGAGGAAGATTGAGGTTTGAGGCCAGGCTTGAGCAAAAACTTGAGACCCTACCTGAAAAATTAATCAAAAAAGGAATGGAGGCATGGCTTAAGTGATAGAGTATCTTTCTAGCAAGAGCCTCTAAATTCAATCCCCACTACCACCAAAAAAAAAAAAATATATATATATATATATATACATATATATATATATACACAAAACAAAAAGAAACAAAATAACTCTACATGAACCAGCACCCAGTCTGATAAAGCAGAAGCCCAGGGAATGCCTCCCAAACACTGAGGATGCCACTGGATGGAGATGCCTGAAATTCGAGGCTGCCCGTAGCTGCTGTTACCAAAGGTGGAGTGAAGTATCCAGACTGCTACAGGTTCCTGGTCTCCTCAGATTTCACCAAGGCACCATGTTACTTGAGGATCTAGTAAAGCTTTCTTGTTAAAAGTAAGCCAAGGCAGGTCTGGAAACTGGACCACAAGTATCAACATTTACAGAACTGGAAGGTATTAATTCCAGGCATTCCTAGGAATGCTGTGATCCTGTCTTCCTCTCTCTCAAGGGCTGTATGCAACTTTTTCCACGTGTAGCCAGAAGGCAGGAGTCAGTTTGATAGGAAGAACTTCTTGTGTCATCTATCAACCCCGTAATAGAAGGGGATGGTAATGTGTACAGGAACAAATTCCCTTAGCACTACGTTTGTGAGTACAGGTTAGAGGTAAGGCTGGTCCCAGTGGCTCATGTCCGTAATCCTACTGTTCAGGAGACAGAGATCAGGAGGATTGGGGATTGAAGCCAGCCCAGGCAAATAGTTCCTGAGACCCTATCTCGAAAAAGCCCTTCACAAAAAAGGGCTGGTGGAGTGGTTCAAGTAGTAAGGGTGCCTGCCTAGCAAGTGTGAAACCCTGAGTTGAAACCACAGTGCCACCAAAAATAAATAAAAAATTAAAAAGTAGTAATGATGCTGGGATTACACATCTCCTTAGCCAAACTTTCTGAGGTGGGTGTTTAAGCTACCTGTTTGTATTTCTTTACCTTCTATTCACTCTAGAACTCACTCCAGTCTCATTTCTACCCCCCAGGCCCTTGCCAAGGTTACTAGAGACCTTTATTTTTAGAAGTCCTGAGGTTTGAACTCAGGGCCTTGCGCTTGCTAAACTGATGCTCTACCACTTGAGCCATGCCACCAGCCCCCAGGTTCTTCTGAGTTGTCAAAATTAGACCCTAATTTTTTTTTTTTTAACGGTACCTGGGCTTGAACTCAGGGCCTACACTTTGAGCCACTCTACCAGCCCTTTTTGTGTTAGGTATTTTTGAGATAGGGTCTCTGAAACTATTTGCCTGGGCTGGCTTTGAACTGCAACCCCCCTGATCTCTGCCTCCTGAGTATAGCTAGGATTACAGGAGTGAGCTCTAGACCCTAATTTTTATTCCTCTAATAATTTCATATGAGGGCTTCAAGAGGTATGGGGAGGGAGGCATGATCTTCTGCCACCCCTTTCGCTGGAATTTACTCTTCCTGTCAACCCCCTGAACATCTTTTAAGGTGTCTTCTCCTGGTTTTCCCTGTCCTTCCCTAATTAACTTTTAAAATGTACTCCCCTAAGCAGGGAACACGTGGCTCATACCTGTAAACCTAGCTACTTGGGAGGCAGAGATCAGGAAGATTGCAGTTTGAAGCTAGCCCTGGGCAAATAGTTCTCAAGACCTGATCTCAAAAAATACCCAACAGGGCTAGCAGAGTGGCTCAAGGGGTAAAAGCACCTGTCTAGCAAGCAAGAAAGCCAAGATCAAACCCCAGTGCCGCCATAAATAAATAAATAAATAAATAACCTAATATAAAAAAGGGGGCTGATGAGTGGCTCAAGTGCATTCAAACCCCAGTACTGCCCCCTCCCAAAAAAAGGACTCCCCTAGCTGGGCCTGTAATCCTATAATCCTAGCTACTTGGAAGGCTGAGATCTGCAGAATCACAGTTTCAGACCAGCCCAGCAAATAGCTCGCAAGACCCCATCTCCAAAATAACCAGAACAAAATATTTCTAACGGTAGTGTCTGCTTTGCAAGTGTGAAGCCAAGTTAAACTCCATGCCCACCAAAAATAAATTTTAACTCCCTTTCCTCTCTATTCTCCCTCTCCCTAGTTTGTATACCCTATACTAATAATTCTCGTCTGTCTCCTGAGCTTCTATACTGCTTTGTTCTACAGTAACCTCAAACACACCAAAGCCAAGCCTGAACTCATCACCTCTCCAACCCAACCAGTCTCTTTCATCTTTTTTTTTTTCTCCCAAATACAGGGGTTTGAACTCAGGGCCTCAAAATAAGCAGGTGCTTCTACCCCTTAAGCCACTTCACCAACCCTTTTCTGTGTTGAGTATTTTCAAGGTAGGATTTCTCCTATTTGCCCTGATTGGCCTCAAACCGAGCTCTTCCTGATGTCTGCCTCCTGAGTAGCTAGGATTACAGGCATGAGCTGTGGCACCTGGCCTCCCTTTGTAATTTTTTTTTTCTGTAGTGGGGTTTGAACTCAGGGCCTACACCTTAAACCACTCCACCAGCCTTTTTATGTGCAGGGTTTTTTCAAGATAGGGTCCCACGAACTGTTTGCCCAGGCTTTGAACCGCAATCCTCCTGATCTCTGCCTTCTGAGTAACTAGGATTATAGGCATGAGCCACCAGCACCTGGATGTAATTCTTGATTAGCTGACAGAACTGGCATCCAGTCAGTCACCCAAACAGAAAACTGGGCAACATCCAGTTTGAATATTCTTCTACCTTTACATCTAGTCAACCAAGTCTTAATGATTGTCCCTTTCATCTCTTGCTTGGACGCTGAAATGACCAAACTGATCTTTTGGTCCCACCCATCCCATAAAATCTGTATTTCACACAGAAGCTTCAAAGTGATGCTTCAGGTGAAAATTTTTATTCATCTACTTTGAACACTCCAGTGGTTTCCCATGATCCACAAGACAACTCAAGATGCTATCCTGGCTTTTAAGTCTTATAACTGGCTCTTATCTCCTTTTCCCTCCTTGCCTACCTTGTGCAGTGGACACATGCACACATACTCCATGCTGTTCTGTGCCTCTATGCCTTTGCTCATGCTGTCCCCATCCTTCCTATCCTTGCCTGCTTAACACTTCCTAATCCACTGAAATCCAACTCAGGCTTCAACTCCCCTGAGAAATAACCTGAGTTCTGTGACTGGGCTAGGAGGAGCCCTCTTCCCTGCTGTCATGACTACCAACTATCACATAGTAGTTATCACACTATATTGCCAGTTTGTTTCCATCTTGTCCACATGAGCTTCTCCAAGACCCTATTGAGATTTTGGAGCCTGACGCAGACTCTTCTTTTATTCACCACTGGTGAATAATGCATCTGGTCACCTTCGTCTGGAGGTATTTGCACTTCAAGGTGTGTTCCACTGAAATGAATTCTATACACCTGTAGAGTGTATAATTCTAGATTTCATGCTGTTATTTTGATTCAAGCCCAATAACTCTGGTTCTTATTTTCCTCATCTTTAAAATGGGAGTGGGTTTGTCCCACCCCTAGCACCCATGATACAATACACACGGAAAGACAACCTGAACTTGAAAGCCAAGAGTTTGCAATGTTAAGTTTTTGGCCCTTAGTCCAAACTTACTCTGAATGCTGAAGCCTCTGGGACAAGGTGGCACTAGACTCAAGCACAATGCTATGGCTCCTGCAGTCGGCATCCTCCCAGCTCTGTTCTTTCCTACTCTATTACAAAGTCGGAAAAGCAGTCAATATACCTAAGCCTCACTTTGTCTCACAGATCTGGTAAGTGAGGAACCAAGGACAGGGTTACGACCAGTGAAGCATGCAAAGTCAGGAAAGTCACTGACCCAGTCCCTGTGGCTGAACAACAATGTCCTCAGTGACCTCAAAGACTTCAACCAGGTGGTTTCACAGCTGCTGGAGCACCCTCAGAACCTGGCCTGGATTGACCTATCCTTCAATGACCTGACTTCTATTGACCCTGTGAGTTCCTAGCCCTATAAGTTCACTCAAGTGTGTGTTGGGGGGGGTGTGGGGGGCGGGGGGGTGGCGAGGAGGGTGCTGAATCCATTTTGTCCAGCAAGAAGCAGAGATGCTGCATGGGATAGTTCAAAGCACATAGCTATAGGATCACACAGATGTAAGTTTAAATCCTGGGTAACTTAACTGTGTGACTTTAGGAAAGCCACATAATCTCAAACCTCAGCCTTCTGTCTGAAAAATGGGGATATGCCAGCATCATAAAAGTTGTCTAAGGATTGTATGAATACATATGAGCACCAACCAGCATTATCAGTGGCTAAGCAAAATTGTAGCTATCGTTACTGGGCACCTACTGGGTCTTGTGCTGAGTTCTGAGGAGGAAAAGGTAGGTAGAAAAACATAGCACTTACTAACTTCAAACTCCAGCTCAAACCTTAAGAACTATAATGTGGCCCCTTCTTGTCTAGGATCCCCGTTAGAGGGGAAGGGGCTGCAGCATGACTTGAGGACTACTGTTGTCTGTTCTAGTATAGTGATTTTTTTTTTTTTTTGGCAACACTGGAGTTTGAACTCAGGGCCTCATGCTTGCTAGGGAGGCACCCTACCACTTGAGCCACTTCACCAGCCCTCAATTTGGTATCTTTTTTTTTTTTTTTTTGCGGTACTGGGTTTTGAACTCAGAGCCTCATGCTTGATGGGCAGATGCTCTTATTGCTTGAGCTACTCTGCCAGCCCAGTCAATTTAATATCTTAAAAGCTTCTCTTAGCTGGCACTAGTGACTCATGCCTATAATCCTACTTGGGAGGCAGAGACCAGGAGGATCGAGGTTCAAAGCCAGCCCAGGCTAATAGTTCACAAGACCCTAGCTCAGAAAAACCCATCACAAAAAAGGGCTGGTGGAGTGGCTCAAGGTGTAGGCCCTGAGTTCAAATCCTAGTACCAAAAAAAAGGCTTCCCCTTCTCTTATGTGCTTTAGCATGATAGTATGTATTCCCTTCTCCTGCTGATAGAATCTTGGGTCACCAAAGTTAGGATGGTCTTCACCTCAGTAAGGGGAAACAAGTGCGGCTCACGGAGAGGTGTCACCTGACCAGTCAATGGCAATGTTGTGACCTGGGGCCCGCATCTCCTTCCCCTTGGATCACAGCTCTAATTCAGTGTGATGCTCCTGTATCCCTTAAAAGATAAATGAAAGCAGGTTAGAGTATGGCTGTGAGGGCTGGAGAAGAGGGCGAGTTCCCCAAACGCTTCCTTCTCTGCCAGCAGGTCAGTCCTGAGCAGAGATCTAGGGTCCTATCCAGCCTGGTTTTTGGCTCCCTCCCCCAACAGGTCCTAACAACATTCTTCAATCTGAGTGTCCTCTATCTTCATGGTAACAGCATTCAGCGCCTTGGGGAGGTGAATAAGCTAGCTGTCCTCCCTCGGCTCCGGAGCTTGACACTCCATGGGAACCCAATAGAGGAAGAGAAGGGGTATAGGTAAGTATCCTGTCCCTATAGCTGGAGTCCACCTGGGCTCCCCTAAGGGACAAGGGGAGGAGAGACAAGAAATTCTGAGAAGGGGTCCTTTTAGCATTTCCCTTTCTAGCAGTCAGGATGAACCAAGTCTCCCCTAAGCCATACTCATGTCCCTCCATTCATAATCAGGGGAGATAGAAGCAACTGATGGAAGGGGGGGGTTGGGATTCTGGTGGGTGGGGGCTGGCCCCCAGCCCGAGTCTTCCCTACAGGCAATATGTGCTGTGCACCCTGCCCCGTATCACCACATTCGACTTCAGTGGGATCACCAAAGCAGACCGTACCACAGCTGAAGTCTGGAAACGCATGAACATCAAGCCCAAGAAGCCTCGGTTCAAGCAGGATACTCTGAGATTCCCAGGACCTTAGCAGTCCTTATAGCCTGAGGATAGTCAGCTTGATATGACAATAAACGATTTGAGCTGTTCAGCAGATTGGAAGTCGCTTGTACCTTATTGAGATGTCCTCCATTTGCTTGCTGGCCTAGGACTCAGGAGCTCTGGATTTACCACATTGCCTTGGGAAACTTATCTAGCCTCTCTGGACCCCTTTGTACTCTTCATCTTAGATTCATGGGATTAGAGGTCAGAAATTTCTAAATTCTTCGGAGATTGCCAGGGTCTGTGGAGCTGCCTAGAGGCACCCAGAAGATGGGCCCATTCAATTGACTTCAGTCACATCAGAGTAACTCCACTCTCATGTTTTGTATGTTGGGATTCTACTTAAGATTTCATTCTTCTTAAAAACGTTTGCTTGCTGACTCCGTATCAAGTGTCCCCAGCAAAACATGGGTGGTTTCCCTTCACCCCCCCATGGCTCTTGGTAATTCCAGTGAGTCTGAGGCAGAGTCCCCAACAGTTGCCTCAGATTCAAATCTGTTCAGCTTTGATAGTGTTCCCGTTATTAGAAGGGACAAGAACAATGTTATCTAATCTGAGGTTAGCCCAGGCCCAGTCTCAGGTAAGATCTGGAAACCCTGACCCTTTATCTCCTGGATTCCTCTTTAATGCCCCCAGAAGATGCCTCCTTCCCACATTTCATTACTCATAGACTCGAGTAGCCAGGAGTAAATAGGAGGGTAGTGGGCAGGACAGAGGGGCTGAACCAGCACACAAATGAATATATTTTCTTTATCGAGGGTGACAAACAGAAACAAAGACCAAACATGTAAAAACCCAGGGTGCTAGAAATGCAAACTCAACTCAGTTAATTCAAACTCATCTAGACCCTGGTCACAAACCCTAGTGAGGTGCCTATGAGCACCAAATCAGGGAGAGGGGGACAGGAGTGAATCTGAGGCCAAGAGAAAGGGTGAAAGGGGGGATCCCCCTAGGTCCTCTGGAGTTCACCCCCATGTGGTATCTCCACCTTCCCAACGACTGTGAAGACCTACCAGGCCCTGTCTTCTTGGCCCCCATCCAACCCTGGCTAGGGCTTTGAAGGCCAATCCCAAATGGTTCTACCCTCCCTTGCTCCATCCTCACTTGCTAGGCTTCTAGCTTCGCTCTTCTCCACATCTTCTCCGTGATTAGTAGTAGGTTAGGGTACTGTATAAGCCGCAGTGAGGCTGGGAGCCAGGAGAGGTGGGGTGGAGACAGGGGTAAAGACAGAAGAGCTGTCCAAGGACCCCTCTCTTCACGGGATCCCAAACTGTACAACCAGCTCCTCTTTTGCATCCACGCGGATCTGAGAAAGTGCACTGTAGGCATAAGCAGCTATCCTGGAGACCTGAGGCAAAGGGGCCAGGGAGAAGAGGAACAGAAAGACACATGAGAGAGGGGATAAGAAAGGTGGGGATGGGGTGGGTGGGATGGCAATGAAGGAAAAAGGAGGGAATGGCAGAGGACAGAAAGCCAAAGAGAGCTGGGTGTGGTGGTGCACACCTGTAATCCTATCACTCAAGAAGCTGAGGCAGGAGGATCATAGAGTTTGAAGTCAGTCTGGGCTACATAGTGAGACCCTATCTTAAAAAACCAAGGGTTGAAGATACAGTTCATTGGTAGAGTGCTTGCCTAGCATGTGCAAGGTCCAAGCCAGAAAAAAAAGAATAAAGGTTGTAGGAAGGAACCAGGTAGGATATAAAAAAACACAAGGCAGGAATGAGCTGGGTCCATAGGCTACAAACTCTTCACTTCCTCTGAGGCAGGATAGGGTAGGACGGGTGTAGGGGTCAGGACAGGGTTAGCTCACCTGCTGCAAGTCAGAGAAGGGGATGGGTTCACTGGCCAGCACTTGGTGGGGCTGGCTGGTAAGAGATGGCAGCGGTGGCAGCTTCTTCCAATGGGTCAGGCTGCTGCTTAAAACAGCCAAGCGGGTGCTGGCCAAGAGGGAGGGAATGGGAAAGAGCAGTTAGACCACAGTCCAGCCCAGCCTAGCCTCACTCCCTCAGGCCAGAGGAACAAGGTGACATGGAGTCTTGGCTCATCACAAACTCACTCTAGGTGCACCTCCCTTGGCCTGGCCACACACAAGCACATAGGGCAAACAGGGCTGACTTGAACTCCTACTGAGGCACCCAAATGATTTGTAGTCAGTCTCCTGGGATGCACCCACATGAAGAATCTGAACTGCAGCCCAGGCTCTAAAACTGGAAAGGCATAGAGGGGAGGGATGGGCCGTAGTTAGTTCTTTGCTTACCTATACTGCCTTGCCCGGTCCATGTACTCATGCTGCTCCATGCCCTGGGAGTCAGCAGCAGACACATCAATGATGTTGCTTTGGGGAGAGGAGAGAGAGAACATGACAGGTGCTTCAGAGAGGCACATCAGAACTCAATGCCAAGTGCCAATGCCAGAGCAATCTGACACCAATGTCCCCACCTTTCCACTGAAGTAGGGCAGGGCCCAGACACCTTTTACCAGCGACTGTGTCCTGTTCCCATATTCTGGGGCTTAACTGCCTCTATTCCAGCCTTGGATATGGACAGCAGAGCTCTATCCCAGGCCTGGTCCTGTAAACACTCACCTGGCTGTTTTGGCAAGGATGGAGGAGAGCAGGGCCTGCTCATCTGTGCGAGTGGAAGGCAGGCTATGGTAGTTGGGCTCAGCTCCATTGAGGGCTTTGGTTGGGGGACTACCAGGGTCCAGCAACAGCTTTCGCTCTTCTCGGTCCTGAGAGATCATTAGGAAAGGAGAAGTCAATCCCAAGACCCTTAGCCCAACCTTCCTTTCCTAGAGTTCTCCCTTCAGATACTTTTATAAGGAATATCTAAAGTGCCCAACTTTATGGAATGTCAGGTAACACTGAGTCCCTGGACTTGCCCTTGGGGGCTCAGAAGAGTTGGTGGCCTGGGATGAACTACAGTAGAACCAAACAGTCCTAGGGGTCCTGAAAAGATGCAGAGGCACAAAATAGGCACAAAACCTCTCAGGTGTTCACCCTCTAGTCCTCTGATGCTCTTCTGTTTGTGACTCCCAAACCCAAATAGAGTGTACTTGGTATATACTGACTTGAGATGAACCAGGGGAGCTGTTCCCTCCTTTGCCAAACCACCATACTTCAGTGTAGCCTGATTGAACTTCATTTTTAACAACCCTGTTACTACTAGCCTGAGCAAAAAAGCGCAACCCCCAGAGCTGATCTAGGACCAAACCACGTCTCCCTAATCCTGTATAATTGTATTTCTCCTTGTCCTGTTTCAGGCACTTGTTCTAATCTACTGCCTTTACTGAACTCAACTCTTCCTTGAACCCATCAGCTGCAAATCCCTGCTGGCTTTGTTAGCTGCAAATTGGATAAATAGACCCGATGGGGTCTGTCCAAGTCATGAAGAGCTCAGGACAAAGCCAAGGATGGGGTGGAGGGGAATCCTGGCTAATGCTGACTCACCAACCTTAAGTGCCAGACCAACAGCCTCAATGCTCCCCTCCAGGCCTTAGTTCCTACCAGACTTCCCTGCTGCTGGAGCCAGCGCCCCTACCCACAACTCCTGAAAGCCACTTCCTCCTGCCTTGCCTGCCCTGCCCCAGGCAGGCCCAGCCTTTCCACCTTGCTCTTTCTTCTCAAGCCTAGGTTGCCTAAATGGCCCCGGCCATTTGATCCAATACCCTGAAAGAAGCTATAAGCTTCTGCATCATCACCTCTAAACTCCCAGATACCTTTGCCTATCTTTCTCCTCCGTGTTAAAGAGATAGAAAGACAAAATATTTGCCAAAGATGAAACTATCTCTAAGGAAAGCTGGCTCATAGTGAGGCCCAAGTTTGCTTCCTATGTCCGTCCTTCCCCCAACACCACTTCTAACATATCTTCTCTCTTCTTGAGTTCAAGAACAAGGTTATTTTTTGACTCCCAGGAGAGGCCATTCCACTCCCTTGAAAGTGCACAAATAATGTCACCACACACCCAAAGAATGAGTGGAGCATGGAATAGGTTCGTCACACCAAGGTTGTTCCTGAGTCAATGTACAAGGTTTCACTGTCTACCTCAGCACAGACCCATATGTAGCCTGCCCACACTGACCACCCATTCTATGGACATGGCTGGAAGAGACATCTTGGCCCAAAAGGAAGCACATGATGACATGGCATCAGAGCATTTCTCAGGTTAGGTAAATCATTTAGCCCATATGATTGCATGAGTCAAATGAGACAACTGTAAAAGCCCTTTGAAAATGATAATGTGTTGTACATTTCTTTTTATTATAATAAAAGGACAGCAATAAGAGTGGGATGGGGACTTGCTGAAGAACAGAAGAGGGCCTTTGGATAGTGAATGGCTTATGGCCTTTGCCACACAAGACCTCAAATCACTCATATTGATCAAGTGCCTCCTCTGGGTGTTAGAAATAAGAGCCCCATCAATGGGAAGGTGGAAATTCAGGAGAGCAGCAAGCCCAGATCTTCCTTCCAGCTAGAAGCTGGTATTCTTTTCCATAAGGCATGAATTCTTATTCCTTGAAAGGGACAATTTTCCATTCTGCCACAGCTCTCCCATCAGACAAGAACATTGCCATCTCCTCCTCTAACAGGCTAAGGTGAAATGAGGGGTACTGTCCAAGAAGCATGCTTAGCAGGCAAGGAAATGAGTATGTGTTCATTAGGTGTTTGGAGAACAGAGGATCAGGAGCCACTCACACCTTCCATGCAAATAAATTTTCCTGAGCTTAGTCCTTAACCCAAAATATCTTCATTGGGGGAAAAATTACTTCCCAAGTACCAGTGATATAATCTACTTTTGTGGCCATCTCCCCTATTAAACTGCAAGCTACTGGATGAAACCATTGTACTTGTCCCTGTGCCTGCTATGTGTTGAAAGACAGAATCCCGGCTTAGAGGTAATCAAAAAAGGTGAGTGGCTTCATTCTTGGAAAGATTTCCTCCTCAAAGGTGATCTGGCCAGGCAGGGCTGGTATTGAAATTTGGAGAAGAAAATGCACCAAGGGGAAGAGGAAGAATTTTAAAACTGTACAGGTCTCCCCAACCTAATCTTTTCTCCAAAGGGACCAGATCTATAGACATATTCTCAAAACAGGCACCCTTTAGCTAGAGGCATCAGGCAGGAGCTAGCTACACCGAGGCAAGCTCAACTGAGAACTAATGAGTTCTCCATCTCTCCAAATTAGCCAAAGCAAAACTCGATTTACTGCTTTCCAACTTCCCACACGCTACAATGTCCACACAGTGAATCCTTCATTGGCCAATTCAAAGGCGACCAACTTCCCAGAGGCCTTCTCTGACATCAAACCAGCAGTGACTTTACTTCTCCAACTCCAGGCACAGAGTGGCTACACAAATTCCTGATTCATCTCGAGAAACTGACTCAGAGCCTCACCGTACCCACCTCTACAATGGATTCGCTAAGTCAGCTAATAAAACAAGCAGAGGGCACTGTAAGTGGGGAAGGGAATGCTTCCCAGGGAGCTAGGCTGAGGATCCTTGCAGCATTAAAGGTTTGAAGATAGGGGCGATGGACGGAGAGAGAACGACTCACAAGGACGGCAACCCGCATAACCCCAGGCGAGGAGTGTTGAGAACTGGGGCTTTAACAGGATAGGAGCCCGGCTCGGCGTCCCCCCTGTAATCTGTCCCCTCCAGGCCTCCGTACTCGGTGAGCCCTGCAGTCCGGCTCCCCAACTCTGCAGGCTTTTTTCTGAGCCCCAAGCCCCAGGGTCATAGCCCTCACTCCCGAGCCCTGTCTGCCGCGTCGCACCTGGTCCGAGTCCTCATTTTCGCTGCTGTAGCAGCACCCCATGGCCGGGGTCGGGCCGGGCGCTCAGGCCGCGCCGAGGAGGGACGGCGTCCGTCAGGAGCCCTTCCGGTCACATGACCCGCGGCTGCCGGTGGCGAGCAACCACCCGTTCCCCTCCCCCTGCCTACCCAGGCCACGAGCCGCTAGGGCGCCGCTGCCAAAACCCCATCTTCCGGCCCCTCCCCTAACCACATGACCACCTCCAAGCAATGGAGAAGGCACACCCTGAGTGACAAGCACTAGACACGTGATGCGAGGAAAGGGAGGGGCGTGTCACCTGATTATCAGTTTCTAAACTCGAATCTTCTCCACCCTGGACTGTTGTGCTCTGGCTCCAAGGCCACCTTTCTGTGCCAGTGAGCAAAGTCATCCCAAGAGCTGCCATCATATACTCTTCCAAATGCCCTTCAAGAGGCGAGTGGCATCCAGGCCCAACGCTTCTAGAGCACACAGTTGGTGTGCAGTAGCCCTGGATGCTCAGTGTCTGATGGGGGAAGCTGGTAGGGCTTCCTCTTTCACAACCTTAAGTGAAGTAATGGTCAAACCTGGTAGAAGAGCTAGGCACCGCGTGCTGACCTTGTCCTCAGGCTTTTCTCGTCAAGCTGCTTTTTTACAGTAGCCATCAAAATATAATACACAAAGCTGACCTTCACCTCTTCTTAAAACTCTCCTGTCTTCATTCTCCAGCCAGCACCAAGGTGAATATCCCTGACATCCATGGCTTCACTCATAGTGCTGTACTTCTTCCTCAGTCATTGGGTCATGACTGTAATCCTAGCCACTTGGGAGGCTGAGATCAGGAGGATCTCCATCTCCAGAATAACCAGACAAGACTACGTATGGCTCAAGGGGTAGATAGAGTCCAGAGTTCAAACCCCAGTCCCACCAAAAAGTGCAGGAGACTTCCTAGTCCTGATTTTTTTGGAAACTGATTTTTTTTTCTTATACTAGAGATGGAACCCAGGACTTTCTGCATAAGGCAGATGCTCCAACACTGAGCTATATCCCCAGTCCTGTCTCACCAAATTGCCTAGGCAGGTTCAGCCTTCTTAAAAGCTGAGATTATAGGATTTATTATATGGCCCCTGGCTTCATCACCTCCATACATATCTGACATCTCTGTTCACTAGTAATGATGGCCTCCCACTAGCTGCTTAGTGCTATGTCTAACTTTTTTTTTCCTTTAGCCTACATTGTACAAAAGGGGTTTCACTGTGATTTCTATACATGCATATAAAGTTCTTTGATCAAATTATCTCAATTACTTTCTTACTCTGCCTTTCTATTTTCTGGGCAGATGTGTGCCTCTTGGGCCATTCCACCAGCCCTTGCCCTTGTTTTGCACACATGGTAATGCTTAATTCACTTTTCACAAATTTGCCACTTGAACCTAAATGTTAATGCCTGCTTTAATTTTTTTAAGACAGTCTCCATCCTGGCCTCTTAACTTTCCTGCCTCGTGCTCCCTGCCTGCTGAGATTACAGGCATGTACCACTATATTCAATTTTTCAGTCCTAAGCAACCTATTCTGTGATGAGTGTAAATACTAATAAAGATTGTGTTTCTCTAAAAAAAAAAAAAACAAAAAAAAAACTCTCCTATGTCTTCATTCTCAATAGTGCATTGCCTGACATCTGCTTCCCACTCCATGGCACGGAGTGAGGCATGGGCGATGTGCTTCAGTAGCCATAGGGAAATACTTGGCAGGTTTTTGTTTTGTTTTGTTTTAGTGGTACTGGGGTTTGAATTCAGAACCTCATGCTTGGTTGGCAGGCATTCTACCATTTGAGCCACTCTGCTAGTCACTTGGCAGTTTCTTGATTGCCCTCCTGAACTTTACTTGTGCAGCCTGGCACAACAGGTCTGCCTGCTATGTTCAAGGTTCAACACAAAATTCTCCTGATTGCCTTCTCTGATCCCATTCTCTTAAGCATCTCCAGCTTCCCATGCTTAATTCTTCTTTTTTTTTTTTCTATTTTTCTTTTTTCTACCCATGCTTAATTCTTATCCATTGTCATTCACTTATTAAATCAGCAAATATCTGCTGTCTACTATGTGCTACCCACTGTTCTATCTGGATAGGCTGCCTCTCAGAAAACAAATCCTGTACCTGTGAAGCATATGATCTAGTGACCCCAGCATATTCTATTCTCATTACCAGGAGTTCCTGGTGGACAGGGAAAGATTCTGACTCTTCTCTGTGACCCAAGCCCTAATACTTCCTTAGAGAAAATGTGAATTTTTAATTGAGTATACAATCTCTCCATCACTTTGGTTCATACCATGTCCTAATGCAAGGGATTGGAGAAGCCACCAGACCTAGAAGCATTTACTACTCCTCAAATCAAGACCCTGGAGTTCTGTTAAGTTTTTTGAGGAGTCCTGAAGGATAGGTGGCCTCTAAAGTTTGTCTCTTGGTCTGGTAACTTGAACTTCAGGACTCAGGTAACAACAGCAGCCTCAACATCAATAATTCAAAGTAGGTCTAGCTTCCTGCCTCAGGGTTATTACCTACAAAGACTTCTGTTCCGTGTCCTGTACTCCAATCTTCCCTAAGCAGGAGCCTCCAGCCCAGGTAAGCAGGGTCTTGTGGGTTCCCAAGCACATCAGTTCATGCCCACCATTACTCATTGATTAGCATCCATTTCTCTCAGTTTTAGTTCCTCCCCACAACAGCAGCCTTGTAAGGCCAGATGTGGAGAGGGAGCATGGTCCAGGACATAGAAAACAACCATTCCCCATAGGTGACCTTGGAAAATGCTGAGTGGGGGAAAGTGTGTGGTGTTTATGTATGCACTTGTAAAGGAATTTCTGAGCACAGGGGAGATAGGATTGGAGAACAAATATAGAATTGAGGAGTCCTCTCATCCCCCAGGAAGAGCAAACAAAAAGAGAGTCCTGAGTTGGGAAAATGATATCTCACCCAACCACCCTATGGTGTTTTGTTATTTTGAGTCAGGGTCTCACTATGTAGTCCAGGTTGGTCTCAAACTCAAGATCCTCCTGCCTCAGCCTCCCAGTGCTGTGATTACAGATGTGTCTATAATCCCATCAGGCCTATAGAGTGTTCTGATTGCCCTTTACTGAGGCAGAGCCTATGACAGTTAAGGAGCTTCTGACTGCAATGTTTGTCTGTTACACCATAATGGGTCAGAGAATAGGCAGACCGGCAGTATGATGGAGGAGGGATGAAGGGAATGAGTAGGGGGAGTAATGTGGAGATAGAACCATACATTGAGACTGAAAAAGGCGGCAGCTCGGGGTGCTAAACATGGACAGTATGGAGTCCTAGAAAAATATATAGGCCTGGAATCATACTAACCTGGATCCAAGTCCCAGTTGTGTGTGACTCCGAGCAAAAGACAGCTTTTCTCAGCCATGGTTTGTAAAATAAGAGCAGTGACTGCTACTGGTAAAGGCTGCACAAATGACAGGCAAATTGTGGGCATGGATTTTCTTCCTAACCTCGTTCCACCCTGGGACCCAGGCAGGGACCATGTCTCCTGCCATTGCACTAGCATTTCTGCCACTGGTGGTGACATTGTTGGTACGATATCGGCACTACTTCCGACTGCTGGTGCGCACAGTCTTGCTGAGGAGCCTCCGAGACTGCTTATCAGGACTGAGGATTGAGGAGCGAGCTTTCAGCTATGTGCTCACCCACGCCCTCCCTGGGGACCCTGGGCACATCCTTACCACTCTGGACCACTGGAGTAGCCACTGCGAGTACCTGAGCCACATGGGCCCTGTCAAAGGTCAGTGATCCTTTCCCTAGTTTTCTGTTCTAGGAAGTAACCCTCCAGATGGTAGAGAAAGATCTGGGCCATGCCTTACTGGGTAAATTGGACAGGTTTGTGATCATCTTTGGGTCTCTTTTTTCACATCTGGAAATGAAGGCCCTGGACTAAGACATTTATTTATCCAGCAAACATTTATTTTCACCCGCTTTGTACCAGGCATGTGCTAGGTGCTGGGGAAGGTCACAAAGATGAACCAGCCACAAATGCTGGCCTCAAAGGGAGAACAGTATACAGGGAAATACAGTGACTCACAGCTTTGTAATTATCTGTGGCTAAGTTTTTCTTCTCTACCATGGAGGCTTCCACATCTGATTCAGGATAGCTGTCTGCTTGGATTTATCTCAGTCCTAGCTCCCAGCACAAATGCTTTTAATCTTATTTTAAAAATTTAACCATAACAAAAAAAGAAAAAAAATTTAACCGGTTCCAAGATCAGTCAGATATTCCATGAACAATAAAAGGGGGGATGAAATTGGAAGCCTCTCGGGAGCCCAGAAGATAGGGTGGTTGTTTCTGCCTGGGCTCTCCTGGAGGAAAGAATATTTGCACTGAACCTGGAAGGACTGGTTTCAAGTTGGGCAGGTAGATGGGGTGTGGGAAGGGCAAAGCCAGTCACATACACAAATGTGGCATGAAGGAATAGCAGCAAAGCATGGTTGATTCTGGGCATAGTTCTTTAGGATAGCTGTGATATTGGACACAGGTGGGAAAAGTTGAGATCTGTAGTTGGTAAGGCAGGATAGGACCTGGTCTAAGAAGGTGCTGAATGCCAGGCTGAGGATCCCAAGTTCAAAGTTATAGGCCTTTAGAATCATAGGAGCCAGAGATTGATGGGTCAGATCTGTGAGACACATTTTTAGTGGCTGGTGTGAAGACTAGACTGGACAAGGCAGAGGGAGCAATGGAGCAGCCAGGGCTATGGTCCATGAGAATCCATGAGACCCCAGCTAGTTGGAGGTTGCAGTAAAGCAGGTGGGTATCTCTTTTCATCAGGGACCTTACATCAATATCCCATGTCTTCTACAAAAATCATCTCGCCCCATAGGACAGATCCTGATGCGGCTGATGGAAGAGAAGGCCCCTGCTTATGTGCTAGAGTTGGGCACCTACTGTGGATACTCCACACTGCTTATTGCCGGGGCCCTGCCCCCAGGGGGGCGCCTTCTCACTGTGGAGCGTGACCCACGCACAGCAGCAGTGGCTGAGAAACTTATCCGCCTGGCTGGCTTCGATGAGCGCACGGTCAGCATCCCCATCCCCACAACCAACACTGATTTCTTCTCCGCCACCTCAGTCCTTGTCCTAGCCAAGCCTCCCTTGTGAGGGACTCCTATTTAAGGAAAAAGAAGCAGTTCCACTTAGACAGCTGTGATCCTGGATGACGTAAGCTCCTGCCCTCCTGTCCAAAGTCATTTGCATTTATTTTCTGCTGAATGACGAAAGCAGCAGTTATGAGGAAGGTTTCAAGAGCCCAGAAAATCTGAGTCCAAATCTTAGTCTGCCTCTTGTTAGCTGTATGACCTTGGGCAAAGCTTTTGCTTGGGTAGAAGGGAAATCACAATACTCCTGACTTCTGAGGCTAGAAGAAATGTAAGACACTCTTGAAGACCGAGGCCAGTGCCTGGTGTGAAGTAAGCCAGATCCAGGTGGGGTCTAGAATGGGAAAGCAGTCCTTCCCACTCTCACTTCCATCTACCCATCCCCACAGGTGGAGCTCATTGTGGGCAGCTCAGAGGAAGTGATCCCGCACCTACAAGCCCAACATCAGCTGAACCGGGCAGACCTCGTGCTCCTGGCACATCGGCCCAGATATTACTTGCGGGACCTGCAGCTGCTGGAGGCCCATGCTCTGCTGCCTGCTGGTGCCACTGTTTTAGCTGACCATGTGCTCTTCCCTGGTGCACCCCGCTTCCTACAGTATGCCAAGAGCTGTGGCCGCTACCGCTGCCGCCTCTACCACACTGGCCTCCCAGACTTCCCTGCCATCAAGGATGGCATAGCCCAGCTTACCTATACTGGACCTAGCTGAGATCCAAAACCAGGGGTATTTACTGATGCCCCCTTACCCCACCCAAACAAGGACCTCAGAACATCCCCTTCCCTTCCTCTTTGGGGCCCAACATAAGCTGGACTCAGGGCTAGAAAGACTATCTTCCCAACTTTGTTCCCCTCAAACCTCCACACTGACCTAAAGCGTCAAATTTTATCAGATTGGTTGGTCCCACTGGTCCTCCTCCTTCTAGAGAGAGCCACAGACTAACAGCAAGAGGCCTGGGCTCTGTTACTGATTTTCTGGGTGACTACAATAGTCCGGCCCTGTTCTGAGATTTAATCTACTCTCTTAATACTAAGGCAGTTGACTGAAAGAGCCCACAGGGTTTCTGGCTTTGGGTCTGAGAAAGTCTTCCTTCCCCAGCCTATGCCACTCTGGGCAGGATCAAAGGAAATAGCAGGCAATGACAGGCCCTGCAAGAATAATTGCAAGCTGGGCAGAGAAAATGGTACAGGAGCTTGGACCCACGTTCCCCAACCCTGGTCCATTAAGTTCACTACATATCCCTTGAATGTCCCCTCCCCAAAGCCCAAGAAAAGATGCTGGATTCCTCTGGGCCCCACCAACAAATAGGGAATAGACATGGGGAAAATAAAATCAGTCCTGTATCTTTATTAAAACAGGGTTAGAAAGGGATCCAACCTGGCAACCAAAGGGTGAGGTACCAGCCAGGAAGGTGGGGTAGACTCAAGCTCTGGGGATTCAAGAGCAGAATGATGACTTGGGAGGGGCCAGGGAAACCAGGTTCTGGCAGCAGCTGAGGAAGTGCCCGGGAATGAGCTTTTAGGCAGTAGGTCCATCAGCTGGTTCTGTGGGCTAAGGAGTTGGGGTTAGGGTGCAGGGTAGGTTAGGCTGGCCTGGAATCTCCCTGAGGCCACCTTGCCTTGTCTACCTAGATCATCCACTGGTCCTGATCCTGTTCGTTGCCTTCCATGTCCACCTGGAGAGGAGGCTGGGTGTGGGTGGGAAGGAGCCTCAGCCAGCTTCAGCCCCTGATTCTGCCCCTGGGTGGATCCAGGGCTTCTGTACCCTTTGACCATTAATCGTGTCAGGGACAGGTGCCCAGGAACAAAGGCCCGCCCCTATTTCCCTACCTACCTCATTGACCTCTCCATCATCAGGTGACTCATTATAGTCATTCATCTCATCCATGTCCTGCATGTCCTCATCATCCTCTGAATCCTCTTCACTGTCTTCATCATCTTCATCATCTTCCTCTTCCTCATCATCATAGTGCTGATGGGGTAGGGGAGAGCCTGTAGGCCCTTCAGGGCTACCTGGACCAGTTCAAAATCTGGCCCACTTGGAGCCTCCCTCTCCCAACTTTACCCTCCTCGAGTCTGGCAGGCTGGTGGGTGATCTGCAGGACCTTATAATTAGGCCCAATGCCCACCCCCTTGAGCTCTGCTTTTTAGTCTCTACCCAGATTGAGAACCACAATTGCTCTATATCAAGGCTCTGCTTTGATCCAGTCTGGACCTTGCACAGGCTCCATCTGCTGAAGCCACTCACCTCTGAGGCTGGCTTGCCAATAGGTACCAGGTTGTTGTCTTTCTCTGCGATGCTTTGGAGCTGTGAAGGGTGGAGGGGGGAACCAGGGCCAGGGCCCAAGCAGAACAGGTCAGGGTCATGGGACTGGCCCACTCTACCCCCAAGAAAACTTCCTAGTGTTAGAGAGAAGCTCCTCCCAGTTCTCAGGAAGATTCAATTCCTTTCTGTCCTGTCATCTGCTACTTATACAATTGATCCAACTACCTAAACTCTCTGGGCCTTGGTTTGTTCATATAGTTATGGTGAGAGTGAAGTGACAAGCTTGGCTGGAAGATAGCATCTTCTAGGTCCTCTCTAAGTATTACACTATTAATACCCATGCTTTAGGAAAAAGAGCTTGGGCTGAGTCTCAGGAGTCAGTGCTCTAATCTGACCCAGAAGTCCCATGGTCCCCCAGCAAATTAGGGCACTGCAAAGATGAGAACCTTGGTCCCCTGGCCTCCCAGCCTATTCCAAGCTCAAATCAAAATCCTTTTCAGAGCACATCTCCAAAGTTCAGGTGGCTCGTGGCCCACAGAACAGAAGAGGGGCCCTCTGTGCTAGGTACTCACTCACCCAGGCTTGATGCTGCTGTTCTTGCTGCTGCAGCTCTGTCTCCTCCACACAAGGTCGGTCCAGATTAAACCAAAGTGTCTCAGTCACACGGGGGAAGAGTGAAGGGAACAAGGTGGACATGGCTCCTAGAGTGAGGGAAAGTGTCAGATGATTATCTTTGGGGAGTTTTTTATTTCGCTGTAATTTGATTTAGGGGTGGGGTGGAGTGGAGGTAGCAGAGAAGCATTACTCTAGGGATCTGACAGACCTGGGTTTGAGTCCTGGCTCCACCACTTACTAGATGTTTCACTTTGGCCAAGTCACTTAACCTCTCTGGGCCTCAGTTTCCTCATCTGTAAAATGGGGATAATAACAATTATACCATCCTCAAAGTTATTCTGATAATTAGGTAAAATAATGGATAAATAAAGCTGTAGGCTGTCAAGGAGGGAAGAGACTGGAAGCCAAGTATAGAGATAGAATCTAGGATACAGGGGCTGACAGAATGGCTCAAGTAGTAGAGCACCTGCCTACCAAGTGAGAGGCCCTGAGTTTAAACTGAGTACTGTAAAAAAATAAAGGTCTGGGGCTGACAGAGTGGCTCAAGTGGTAAGAGCACCTGCCTAGCAAGCGTGAGGTCCTGAATTCAAACCCCAGTGCCTCCAAAAAAAGTAAATAAAATAAACAGAATATAGGCTGACATTATGAAATTATACAAAATGAAAAGTAGCAGAGCTCTACTGAAATTATCTTTACCTCCTCCAAATCCTAAAACTTGCTTTTTACTTCTTACCACACCCATCCAGTACAAAAGTTTGGGACACCAACCACCTTTCTCATGAACTCACAGTAAATGGGGTGACAGGGGAAGTGTTTACATCACATGCAAGTGTTCAGTAAGACATTCTAGAAATCATAAATAAATGAATAAATAGATGGAAAATTGAGTTGATGAACTAGATGTAGAAGAACAAATAAAATCATGTGTGTGGGTTGAAGTTGCTAACCAGGAAGGTCCCAGAGAATCTGAATTAAAACCCTTCAGCTCTGCCGGGCGCCAGTGGCTCACACCTGCAATCTTAGCTACTCAGGAGGCAGAGATCAGGAGGATTGACATTCGAAGCCAGCCCAAGCAAATAGTTCAAGAGACTATCTCGAAAACACCCAACACACACATAAAATGAACTAGTGGAGTAGCTCAAATGGTAGAGCGCCTGCCTAATAAACATGAAGACCTGAGTTTAAACCTGAGTACCGCCAAAAAAAAAAAAAAAAAAAACCTTCGGCCGGCGGGTGGCTCACCCTGTAATCCTAGCTACTCAGGAGGCAGAAATCAGGAGGATTGCGATTCAAAGCCAGCCCCAACAAATAATTCCCAAGACCCTATCTCGAAAACACCCATCACAAAAAGAGCTGGTAGAGTGGCTCAAAGTATAGGCCCTGAGTTCAAATCTCAGTTCCGGAAAAAAAAAAACAAAAAAACCCTCCAGATCATAGACGTGAAAACTTGAGACCCAGCGACAGACAGAGAGGTGTGTCGGGGGCTAGGCTTAGAACTCGCGCAGGGAAGAGATCTAGGCACGGCACTGGAAGTAGAGAACAGAAGAAAAGGATCTACATCTTCTCCACCTTTTGCCCTAATTTATTTGAGCGACCCAGAAACACTGCTGCCATTCTCTGGGCCAAAGCTTCCCACGCTGTGTATCAGGCACAACAGCGCCCACCCTCACATCCCAGAAGTACTGACAGGCCAGAGAAGCTGCATCCTAAAACCCAACCCATCGCAAAGCTACCGCCCATCCCTTGCTCATTATGATAATAACTGCAGGCTTGACCAACGAGAAGAAGACATGGGCGGGACTCGGACAGCAGTTTGTCCTTATACAGTTGCTAATCTAGAAATGAGCGGGGCCTGGGTAGAGCCAATTAACTGAAAGAAATGTTAGGTGACAGGAAGTGACACCAATGAATGACGGGTCTTGTGTGATGGGGTGGGGCTTAGTTTCGAGGAAGCGGCCAATAAGCAGGAGCTGTTTAAGAGGAAAGGAGTCTGAATATGAAGGTCCTGAAGAGACGAGTCAAAGTGATTGGGTTTCTTTGAGGAAAGGAGGAAAGAAGTAGCAAGGAGACGGCCGCAATCCTTCTTCTGTACTTACCGCGCCGGGAGGCGGCAGCCGGTGGCGACCCGGAAGCGCTTCACCTGGCCTAAGCGGAAGGACCCACCAGAATCCGGGACCCACCAAACGCATGCGTCCTTCGTTTCCTTTTGTTTCCCGCTCCCGCCCACGGGACCGGAAGTGGCGTTAACACACCTTCGCACGTACTACTAGGGGAAGGAAATTTGTCGCTCCTACCTATTGGTCCCGCTATGAACCTCAGCCAATGGACCTCTCCAGCCTCGCCCCTCCATAACCGCCCATTTAATCCCGCCTTTCTATCACCAGACAATTATGTAATTCCGTTTTTAAAATGGTTCTCAGCAACCTGCGGTGCCCTGAGGTCTTCGTCATCCCTTCGTCCCGGGAAAATCTGCCTTTACCCCAGAATCTCTGGGTGATTTTACGCCTCTCCTGTCTATCCCCTCTCAGATTCAGTTTCCCGTTTCAACGTGTTCATTCTTTTTTTGTGTGTTTGGTGTTAGGTTACCAACCTAGGACTATAAGCCTACTAAACAAGTGCTCTACAACCGAGCACCCTCCCTAGCCCATACTCATTCTTCTATGTATGCCTTAAACAAAAGTAGTTGAGTCTCTAGTATATGATAGACTCTGCTGGAAGCTGGGAATAAGCAAGACCCTGCAGACCCCGACTGGACTCTCTGGTCTATTAACGTTACCTGTCTCGTTCTGACATTGGAGGCTTGAGGTACTAGTCAGCCTCAGACATAGCATTCTGATGCTGGATCAAATCTTATGGCTTAGCCTGGGTCACCTCTTCCACTCCTTTATTGATGTCTGTGTTCTTGGCTCTGTTCTTGACTCGTCCTAACCTTCAGAGATCCTCATGCCTTCTGGTAACAGAGGTCCTTCCATCCCAACTTCTATTAAGCTCGATCATTTAGCAGACTCATGGCCAGCGATCATCCACAGTTCCACTTAAATGTGTAAGTCCTCTGAATGTACTGATTCTGTGTGTGTGTGTGTGTGTGTGTGTGTGTGTGTGGTGGCACTGGGGTTTGAACTCAGGGCCTTGCTTGCAAAGCAGGTACTCTGCTGCTTGAGCCAAACCTCCAGTACATTTTTTCTGGTTAGTTTGGAGATGGGTGGTCTCATGAACTATCTCCCCAGGTTTTCCTTGAACCTCTGCCCTCCCCATCTCAGCCTCCCAAACAGCTAGGATTACAGGCATGAACCACTGGCACCCAGCACTGTTTCTTCTTTAACTGGCATCATAATCTGCCTAGCCTTCCTCCTATTTTAAGGCTAATTCGAGGATTGAATGAGAAAACAACTATTCAAGAGGTAGTGTACTGTGCCTATTGGCTATTGATTATGTTGTCAAGCAGCTCTGCTTGTCAAAAAGTTTTTCATAGAATAAAAATAAAAAATAGTTTTTCATAGCCAGGCACTGGTGGCTCACATCTCTAATCCTAGCTGTTTGGGAGACTGAGATCATGAGGATCACAACCCAAGGCCAGCTGGAGCAAATAGTTTGTGGGACTCCCCCCCCCCAGCTCCAAAATAACCAGAGCAAAATGGACTGGAGGTGTGACTCAATCAGTAAAGCACCTGCTTTGCAAGTGCAAAACCCTGAGTTCATAAGCCCATCCCACTAAAAAAAAAAGTTTTTCATTAAAGAATAATATTTACCTCTTGGAAATGTCTACCCTTTTCATTCATTCATTTAACAAATACCTACTGAGTGTTAAACATGTCTATCTGTCACTATTCTAAGTAGTGTATATACAACAGTGAACAAAGCAGACCAAAAAGTTATTCTCATTATTCAGCTTCCACTATAATGAGAGCTATAAACAATAAAGAAGATGCATAAATAGTTTTAGGATTGCAGTAAAGTACTGAGGAATAAAAATAAACCGAAGTGGCAATAAAATATTGGCAAGGAAAGTGGTTTAGATGGGAGTGGGGGGACGGGGGCTAGCAGAGTGGCTCAAGTAGTAGAGCACCTGCCTAGCAAGTGCGGGGCCCTGAGTTCAAACCCCAGTACTGCAAAAAAAAAAAAAAAAATTAGATGGGGGAGCAAGGAAATCACTGAGAAGATAACTTTTGAATAAAGGTCTAAAGGAAAAGAGAGAGCCTTCTGCTACTTGGGAAGAATATTTCAGAGAGCGAGAACAAGTGCAAAGGGTGTAGAATAGCTTATTATTATTATTATTATTGTTATTATTTTACAGCACTGGGGCTTGAACTCAGGGTCTATACCTTTAGCTGTTATCGGCAATCATTCTCAGAAGATCTTGGTTTTTGTGTTCCAAATGGAAGAATCCAAGCAGAGCATGTGGATGGGGTGAGGTAGAATAGCTTTATTAAGGGAAGGGAGTCATCCGTTCTGCCAGGTGAGGAAAGGGAAGAAGAAGGGTTGGGGTCTCTTGGTATGTCGTTTTTATACCACCTTGAACTTGGAGGTAGGGAGACCGCCTGGCTCCTCTCACCTATGGGCTAGGGGGAGGAGCCATTGAGCCAAGAGGGGTTGCAGTCCCAACTATCCCTAAACCTAGCCTGCCTCAGAGCCACTTCACCAGTCCTTTTTTGTGAAAGATTTTTTTCGAGATAGTGTCTCAAAGTATTTGCCCAGGGCTGGCTTCAAACCTTGATCCTCCTGATCTCTGCCTCCTGAGTAGTTAGGATTACAGGTGTGAGCCACCAGCAATAGGCTCAACTTTGTAGATCATAATAAGGACTTTGGGGAACCAGCTAAGGGTTGTTATAAATGATCCAAAAGTAGTGGGTGAGAAATGGTTGAATTTTGAATATATTTAGACAGTAGAGACAGGCTTGCTAAAAGATTGGATGTAGAGTATCAAGAGGAAGAAAAGAACCAAAGATTTTTTTTCTGAAGGACTGGAAGATTGGTGTTGCTGTGTGTGTGTGTGTGTGTGTGTGTGTGTGTGTGTGTGTGTGTGTGTAATTTGTTTTTGAGATGGGAAAGACTGGGAAGGTCCAGTGTGTATGTGTGTGGGTGTGTTGAGTTTGAGATACCTGCCCGTTACAGTAGAGATGTTGTCGGGGTATAAAGACCAACAGATTTGCAGGTGAGGAAAGAAATCTGGGCTGGGTATATAGCTTTTGGAGTGATGGTATGTAAAGCCATGAGACTGGATGAGATCACCAAGGGAGTGAGTGTAGATGGAAAATAGTTTCCTCCAAAACCAAGAACTTGAGGAAACTGGGAAAATCAGCAAAACAGATACAGTAAGAAGGCCAAAAACATAAGTAGGAAACCAAGCAAGTTGGGTGATATTCTGGAAGCCAAGTAAAGAAAAGGTATCAAGAAAGAGTCGGTGATCTCTATGGGCCAGTTCTGTACAAAATTGTATTTCTATTTATTCCCCCCACAGACCATACACTCATTGAGGAAAGACACTGGATAGTTTTTATGTCCCCAGGGTCCAGCCTCCCCTTCTCTTGGATACCTCTTTTGCTCTTCCCATGGTCTGTGTCTCCAGCAGTCTTTCCTCTGCTTCTTTTTCTTCTAGGATCCCTACCTCAGGCACCCTTTGCCTCACACCCTTCTTGACAGCTCTGCCCTTCTTGAAATTTCCCAGTAACCTAGAGTTTCCAAGGTCCTCAACCAGGTTCAGCAACTCATGGTGACAGTCAACTAAATGCGAGATACCTTTTTAAGCTCTGTGAATAGATGAAACAGAAGTTAATTCCTGTCCTAGAAAAAAATATGGACTAGTGAGGACTAAAACAATTATAGAAAAGGGTGCTAAATGTTAAAATCAATATATGTAGAGAATGTTATAAGAGCACAGAGCGGGGAGAGATGAATGGGTTCTGGACAAACTAAATTTATACTTTTGTTGCAGAGAAGGAAACATTTGAGTGGGCCTTGAGGGATGTGTAGGAGTTAAGCCCAGTAGAAAACAAGTAGGAGGAGGGAGTTCACAAAGAAGTATGCTACATTCCAAGGCAAGGAGTTGAAAGCCAATTAATTATATGTTGGGAGAACAGTGGGAATCCATTTGGACAGAAGAAAAATGTGTGGGGCTGGAGAAATAAGGTTAGGGACCCAGAAGGGGAAGGATCTGGTGGTACTGACATGAAATGGATAGAATAGGAGGTAGGCATCCTGGGTATTACCTTTTTTTTTTTTTTTTCCCCTCCTGTTTTCCCCTCCAGTATTGGGGATTGAACTCAGGGCCTTGCATTCTGCCACTTGAACACACTTCCAGTCCCTGGGTCTTGCCTTAGCTCTATTGCTGACTTGCTGAGGACCCCAGGTAGATGCCTTCCTATCCCCAAGCTTCCATTTGCTCTAATATAATATTCTAACCATGTCCCTCCTTCTGATTGAGTCCCTGGAAAAGATTCCCCTGGCTTTGCCCTTTCTGTCCTGAGATTTTTGCCTGCCCCCTCTTTGTGATACAGGCCCTGGAAAACTAGAGACAGGAGCAGGATGGGGATTTCCAAACAGAAATAAATCCAGGACTCACAGGCTGGAGAAGGAAACCCGTGACTCTCTGCAGGGAATTTTTCAGGGTCCAGAAACGCCTGTGCTGAGTGGTATGAACTCAGTGCTAGTGAAAGCTGTGCTCACTCATTAGTCGCATTAGCCTGGAGGAGCATGGTTGGGCCCGGTAGGGAACAGAGGAGAGGGTCAGTGGTCACTATCTTTCATATACAGAGGCATGTTTGGTCTCCAAAGAGCTTTCATGTCATAGTCTCCTCTTATCCTCCCTCTAACCCTCCTATGATCTGTGTCTTCCAGGTGGGAAGAGACACCCGGGGCAGGCACGGGTGTGGGGGAATGAGAACGCCCAGGCAGGAGAGCTTGTGGGAGGAGAGATGCTGTAGGGAGCTGGAGAGCTCCACTGGAAGTCTGGCTCAGGAATGCATCTTAGCCTGGAATAAGTTTCTTTCCGTCTCAGGGTCACTGGATACTTCATTTGTTTTCTGTCGTTGAGGGCTCTCTGGACCTGACTTGAATTTTCTTCCTTCTTCCCTCCCTCAATCCCTCCCCCTCCCTTCCTTCCTTTCTTCTTTTTTTTTTTTTCCCAACAGTACTGGAATTTGAACTCATGGCTTCATGCTTGCTAGACAGGTACTCTACAGCTTGAGCCACACTTCCAGGCCTGGTTGTGAC